TGTAACTTTGATGCTACAGGAAACCGTGAAAAGCTATCACTGGAAATTAGCCTGCTCTGGTTGCTAACTGAATTTACGGACCGCAAGGCGGTGCGTGGGTTTGTCTCGTCCATGGAGTCCCTGCTAATTCAGGACGGGGACCGTAGTAATTAGAGGAGGTTCAACATGGAAGGTGTCTTTGAAGGGTGCACCTTGGGTGCGTGGGCATGTCCGGGGGGACGTTCCGCCTGCGGTTTTCTTTCCAGAGGGGATGTACCTGTCGGCCACCTCTGTTTCCTACTCTGCTCCTCGGAGCTGCTGCTAAGAGCGCATCAGCCACTGTCTTTTCACCAAAGGTCAACTCTTTTCCATGCTGAGTTTTCAAAAGCCCAGAGACCGGGTGGTGGGCTTCAGAAGCCTTGCCACGGAGTGTTTGTTTATTAGCAAAGATCAGTGCTTGTTTATTAGCAAAGATCGGTGTTTGTTTATTACCTGGCCATCCCAATGATGCTGAAAGAATTCTCACCTTCGATGAGCCCTTTTACCCCAAAGCCAGCCCCGACACACAAAAGCTTTGATGTTTTTCTTCATTAGATAGTATTTTGCTTTCCTCTAACGACTGAGCTTCCTGAGTGACATGATAGCTGACACAATGCAACCTCCCGTCTTTTCCTTAGAGGGTCAGATTTACATCTGCTTTGCAAATGGGAGCCAGCCACTGTTCATGAGTAACTGGTGGCTTGGCCGTAGGGCTGGGGAAGGCCTCTTGCGGACGACCCTTTTTCTCTCAAGTCCAAGCTGCACTAGGCCTTTCTTCCCTCTCCCCCCACGGCAAGCTTCGTGTTTCTAGCTGAAATTGCCCCGAGTTCCTTTACACTGAAATACTCTCACTGTGTTATTCTAAAGACACTTAATTGTAGCATGGGCTTTTTTGGCAAGAGAAAACAGACAAGGCGAAATGATGAAGGGAGACAAAGACGTATTGAGAAAAGATATATCTTCTATTGTTAATTATATATAGTGTGCGCATCTGGAGCCTTTACAATGAGCAGCAAGGCAGGGATAATATCGCAGCCGATCAAAACACGGCATTCTTAGTCACTGAGAAGATTATAAACCTGCACAGTAGCTCAAACGCACCAAGGGCAGAAGGAGCCCCATAATGCACTGAGACTGTCTGTTTGAACAACTTAGGATAAAAATTACACGGCGCTCAGATGGCGTGCTGCAAAAGCCCACCTTATTTTGTCAAGCCATCAAATGGCGTCATTACTTACTGCATGAGCCCAAGTGTCAACAGGGGATCAGGTACTCCTGGGTCATCATTAAGGGACGATGAAGCAAGGAACAAGCGTTATGGAACAGCCATATCTTGGCCCCAGCTCTGGCATCCCCGTGTGGTAGCTGTGTGGTTTCAGGCAAACCACTTAGCCTTTCTGTGCCTCAGACTACTTACGTTAAAATCTGAGCAAAAAAAGATCTGCCCTATTATATATATAGTGTCGTAGGTTGATGGCAGAATTACGTTGCACAACGTAAGCTAGAAGATTCTGCACTCTGAAATTCTGTAACAATGAAGGGGGCTACCATCATCACTCCAGATGTCAACAAGTCCCAAACCAAAGGGCGCGGATAGGAGAAGAATCGTTACACTGTTAGGCATGTGATCGCACACAGCCAAATTTGGAAGCTGTACCTTTTTCGGTAGCATGATAGACACGCCTTTCGATTTTTTCACCTGAATACAGAGAGGCAAAGGGCACCTCTGCTGTGAATGTTAATTTTGTAGCACATGAAAACCGTGGGAATCCAAATACTGAGGGATAACATTTGGCAAAGACACTATCATTTAATGGTCCCGGATCACAAACTGAACAGATCATTAGAGTGTAATGAGATCCCCAGCAAAAATAAATAAATAAATAAATAAATAAATAAAATAAAAAAGTCTCTTGAAGAAAGCTGGAAAAATTGGATGACTGCTTTGCACATATGGCCACAGGTGAATAAGTACCTGAAAGAGAATTATAACACTATTTTTCAGGTACTTTTATGAGTGACTTGGGATGTACCCTGACCTCGATACATCAATAGGAGTGGGTGAGATGGGGCTGAGGGTCCTTGCTTGCACATGTATCCAACGCTAAGTGCTTGCCACCGAAAAGACATTGTGGTATGACAAATGGAGATATAATGTTGAATAAGTCATGGGTCCTTCTTTCCAGAAGCTCAAAATCTAGCTTGGGGAGTTCATCTCCACCTTGGAACAACAGAAGTAACTGAGAGCAGAGCTCCAGTATCTATGATGTAAATAGAATGGAAGGCATATGAAACACCTTTCCAAGGGGACAGAAAACCCGCTTGGGATCTAACCCTAAGAAAGGCCTTGCCTCCTAGAAATACATCAAATAAGTGATCAAACTTCAGTACATCTGGTTTCCTTAAGACAATTTCATCTATCCCTCTCAAACCGCTTCTCACATAATTTTCCAAATCTACACTCCCACACTAGAGAGGTGGGTGGTGGGCTCAAAAGAAATGCCATTCATGTAGACCACAGCTATGAAACTTGCAGGACTCCTCCACTCGTTAAATATCTGTCAAGTACTTGTTAAAGATCTACTACCTTTATGTAGCTCCACCAGGAACTATAGGCTAAAGAGGAAAGAAAAGTGTCCTACCCTTCAAAACCTTACAATGGAGTTGGTGAGTCAAGGAACACTGCTTATAGCCATTATGAAATTAGGCTGCTTTCTGAGGCGTATGTTAAGTAATTCTCGTACTTCATCATGAGTTCTACAAAAACATCATTTGGTGTGTAGATTATGGAAATAGAGAACATACAGCTAAATAGCTTTGTTCCAAAGGGTTAAAAATATTGGACCAAAAAAAGACAAAAACAAAAAAACCAAAACTCAGGATCTTACCACTTTTAGGACTCACTGGAAATGAATAAATAACTCAGAATAATAAATAATCTGATCCTTAATAAAGTGAAAAGGAACACTAGAAATTTAAGACATATGAAGTGATCTTCCACATGAGAAAGTCTCTACCAAACAAAAATAAAAAATAAAAAATAAATTAAAAAAAAAAAAAAGAAAGTCTCTACCAAGGATACAGTCATATAGGAGATGTCTAAAGGAATGTCCTGGGTCCATGTTACCTAATAACTAATTTGTCTTGGAAAAGAAAATAGAATTGTACCGTATATTCCGTGATGGCATGGAAGATTTTATTCAATGAGCCAACAGATCATGTGTTGACTGTCAAAGCTTTTGACTACATCATATATGGTGAACTCATCAGTAAACTATAAGCCCCCATCTAGAATGCAAAACTAAAGGACCAGACGCAAAAGACGAAGCTCACAGGGTTACTGTCAGTTCGGGAGAACATAATAAAGTCCACTCTATTCAATAATTTCACCCATAAGCTAAATTAAAACAACAGCAATATCTTATTAATTAGATGCCAAACTTTGGTGTTGGAGAGTTGCCAAGATCTTGGAGGATGAGATCAGACGTCAAAGCAATTCTGGATAAACAGAAAGAGGGACTGGAATTCAAAAACTGATGATCACAGGAGGAGAGATAGCATAGTCTTCTTTGTGGGGGGCAAGATGCAGAAAAGCAAATCAAGCGTGCACTAGAATGATTAGGAAATCATGAGAAACGGGGTTTGATAAGCTGACCATGCATTCAACTCACACTAGCTTAAAAATGAACAGAATATTGGCCAAATAATCCTCGTGATTTTGAATCATGTTTTGGTTAGGGGCAGACAATAGTTTTAAGATCCGCGTTTTAAAGGCGGCCAGTTGAGTGGATTCGGAAACTCATTCTTAATGGAAAACAATTAAGAAAGAGTGAGACTGTTCGGTCTAAATAGATAACATTTAGTACAGAAGGTATGCTGGGAAATACTTTCACAAAATGTTCCTTCTTGATCAATGGATCTGAAGAGCTCCACGCTCTCTTTTGAAGGGTCCATAGACCCATGTGCTAGCACTGTTGCAAAACACAGAAACAAATAAACAAAAACTAAGTATGCCTAGAAGACTTTCCCCAAGAGTGAAGGTCATCAAGGCTCAAAACCGACCCCTAAAGAGGGAAATGAGAATATCTTTTTCTTTTCTCAGGCTTGGCGATAAAAGAGAGATCCTTCTTCACACGGGATTTTCACTTCCTCGACGAAACAGACAACCAGTGGATTAGGCTCCCTTAAAATCATTCCACCTCTGAAGTTTTATGAGTTATTCTATTTTTTCAAAGGCTTTTCCCAGTTCAGAATGTCTACACTTGGCTTTCCTCGTCGGCAGGACTCTTCTCCTGTGGGTTCTCTTTGAAAAGGTCTACATTTAATGGTTTTAGAAAGGTTGTAGCTTTTTATCTGACATTTGCAGCGTCTCGGCTTTTGCTTAAAGATGAATGCATCTCAATGCAGTCACTTGTGTTTGTAAGTTCTCGGAACATCTTAACATCTGAGGATCCCTGGAAGGGGGTGGCTGTGATTGAGAACTCAGCAGTAGTCATAGGAGCCAAGTAACACTACGACGGGCAGACTCTTACGGAAAAGGGTTGATTGCTTCTCCAACAATTAACCGACTGTAATGCACCCTCCTTCTATCAACCCAGAGCCCACCCAGCAACAGACACAAATATTCACAAAGCTGCTTGTATTTTGTCCAGCTGCTAGCTTGTGTAGTAAATCAAGTCGTGACATTTATTTCGAGTTTGTGAATTTGTTCCTGCTTTTGTAGAGCAGCTCAACTTTATACAGGCACCCCGTTTACCCTGCTAAATAATAGCTTCCTCTTCCATCAGGCACTGGTTAGGGAGTAGCTACCCACCTTCCTCTCTACTGCTTCTGGATTTAAGTATGGGGTTTAGGTTATTTTTCCTCCAGGAGAGAGGAAGTGTCAGAAGCAGCCCGGCAGCGGCCAGATCCACTTTTACATAATGTAAAGGGCGAGATGCAGGTGGTTGCTCACTGTTTGAATAACTGTTTCCTCAAAGTTAACCGGACCACGGCAATATATTATTCAAGAGTATTTATGACTGCGAAAGCCCAAAGGGAAATCACATGCACCATCACATTTTTATTGGATTGCAATTATGCAGGAGGCCTGTACATATCTGTGCTGACTGTTCACGCAATTGGCCTTTTCAGGGAGGTCCTGGAAGTTTTTTGTTCCCCAAACGCCTTCCTTAATCTCATGTTTAATTGCCAACAAGAGCACACTTAAAGTTTATAGTCCCACTTTACAAATGAGTAACTGATTCTTACCTGAAATCGACTGCTAGGAGAAGGACCATGCCCAACTTACCCCAGATTAAAACGATGTACCGGAGTGGAATAAAATACAAAGTGACGGTGGCCACTGCCAGGATCAGGCAGGCCAGGAAGGAAAGGAATGGGACCGTCCAGTTAAACGTGCTGTAGACAAACCACAAAGATGTCATTTTCTCGCATGCTCTGGCACAGCTGTGCTACGTTCATCTTGCCATTGTTTATTTTTTTAAGGTTTTATTTTATTTTTTAAGACACAGAGAGGGACAGAGCACGAGCGGGGGAGGGGCAGAGAGAGAGAGAGAGAGAGAGAGAGAGAGAGAGGGAGCCACAGAATCCGAAGCAGGCTCCAGGCTCTGACCTGTTAGAACAGAGCCCCACGCAGGGCTCAACCCACGAACGGTAAGATCATGACCTGAGCCGAAGTTGGATGCTTAACCAACTGAGTCACCCAGGCGCCCCTAAAAACCACAGATTTGAATCTAAACATATCAGTAACCACATTAAATTTGAAGGGACTAAAAAAAAAAAATTTGAAGGGACTACAAGCTATAATGAAAAGCTAGCGATGGTCAGAAACAAGAAAGATACCTAAAATATAAACAGAAAATAATAGGAAAGGATATATTATGAAGAAACCAATAAGTGGGAGGTGGTGTGGCCATATTAATATAAGATACTAAGGCAAAATTTCATTTATTGTTTAGAGATAAATACATCACTTCCAACTGATTAATGATCTAATTCGCCAGGAAACTATAGCAATTTTAATACGTACAACCCAATTAACATAGCTTTGGAACACAGAAAGCAAAAACTGACCAAGCTACAAGGAGAAATAGACAAATCCACAGTGGAAAGTTTTGACATACATCTCTAAGTAATTGATACAAGAAGCCCAACTGAAAATGAAAATCAGAATATAAAAGATTGAATGTGGGGCGCCTGGGTGACTCAGTCGGTGAAGCTGAAGTGTCCTGACTTCGTCTCAGGTCATGATCTCACACTCTGTGAGTTCCAGCCCCGCGTCGGGCTCTGGGCTGACAGCTCAGAGCTTGGAGCCTGCTTGCTTCAGATTCTGTGTCTCCCTTTCTCTCTGCCCCTCCCTTGCTCATGCTCCGTCTCTCTCTGTCTCAAAAATAAATAAAAACATTAAAATATATATATATTGAATGCAATCAACAAATTTAATCAATGAATATATATCCAGAACAATATCCTAGATAACCTTTTCAAGAACACATGGAAAATTTACAAAAGCAGGCCATTTTCTCAATGAATATTTTCTGACCATAAAGCAATTAAGCTAGAAACCAGGAACAAAAAGATAACCAGGAAATCTTCAAATACTTGGAAATTAAGCAATATGCTTCTTGGCCAAAGAAGAAATAAAAACAGGGAGAAAAAAAAAGTTTTTATTAAATTTGAATGATAATGAAAATATCAACACCAAAATGTCTGGCCTGGAGCTAAAGTTGTGCGTATAGACAATTGTAGAACTTTAAATGCTCTTTAAATGTTAGGAAGATTAGAAAGACGGGAAAAGAGTTAGAAAAAAAATACTGAATTCATCCCAAGGAAAATAAAAGGAAGAAAGGAATAAAAATAAGGGTACTACTAATTAATGAAAAAGAAAGCAGGCTAACAGGTAGGATTAACAAAGGCCAGTGATAGCTCTTTCTAAAGACTAACTTAATTGATAAATCCCCACCAAGAAAGAAGGTTAAACGCAATTAATATCAAGCATAAAAAAGTGGACAAAGCTACAGATCCTACTGACATTCAAGATAGGATTTTATCCAATAAGAGGACTTGATTAACAAATTTATTCCAAAAAGTAGAAAATTTAAACAAAATGGGGAAAACCCAGAAAATGACCACTTATAAAAACAGACGTGAGAAGAAACAGAATGGCCAAACACGTCTATTTTACCAAAATCGAATATTCAGTGAAAACCTGTCCTAAAAGAAAACTCCAGGCCCAGATGCTTCCCCAGCAAATTCTAGCAAATCTTAAAGGAAGCAATGACACCAGGCGTATGCAAACTCTTCCAGATGATGATAGAGAGAACGCTTTGTAGGAGTCTAGAATAATCTTCTCTCCATAAGGAATTTTCAAGAACAGAAAATTAGAGATCAAATCTCGTTAGTGATGACAGCTGCAATAATCTTATGCAAAGTAATAGTAAATAAAATACAGCAAAATACAAAAGGAGAGATTATATAGCATGATGAAGTTGGGTTTATTCCATACAGTGGAACACTGGCTTAACATTTGAAAGCCAATCACAATAATAGACCATATTAACAAAAATAAAGGAGAAAAAAAAAAACAAACAAACATCATCTTAGTGAATGCAGAAGAAAAGTTTGATAAAACTCAACTCACATTCACGATAAAAACTCCTAGTAAATTAAGAATAAAAGGAACTTCCCCAATTTGATACAACATCTTTACAAAACCCTATAGCAAACATCATCCTTAGAATGAAATGTTGAAATTTTTCTCTGATATCACATAGGAGAAGAGTGTTCAGCCATGCCAATTCTGTTCTACCATAAAGTAAGAAAACACAGAAAAATGTCGAAGGATTGGAAAATAAGGAATAAACAATTATTCCTAAAAAATATGTTTCTGCAATAGAAAATTAAGGATAATAATCTTCAGGTAAAAATTAAGATAACTAGGTTTACCAAAATTTAGAAATACAAAGTCAGTGTGGGGGAAATTCATTTCACTTCTATATCCCAGGAACAAATAAGTAAAAATGCAATCTGAAAACAAAAAAGATACCATTTAAAATACCATGAAACAAATCAAGGACTTAGGAATATAGCTCACAAAAATGCGTCACACTTCTATACATACAACTCTAAAATAATACTGGAAGAAATTCAAGATGGCCTGAATAGACAGAAGAGTACATTAGAAAACTTAAAAGTTTATCAAGATGTCAATTATTTCCCAATTAATGCAATCCTTATCAAAATCTCAATAGTTGTCTGTGTGTGTACAAACGAGTCGTGTGTCATGTGTATCAGCACTGGGTGTTAAAAATGAAGATGTGTATCAGACACTGCCACAAACACACTGTCAGATTTGCTCTCCCAACAGCAAAGTCAGTTAACTCTTGCGTCTTCCCCTGAGCAACTCACAATGTTAGTGGAGAGCATTTTAATGTTTTCAAAAAAGAAGGGGACATTCACTGTTTACATTTTTTTTTTTTTAATTTAAGACACAGAGGGGCGCCTGGGTGGCGCAGTCGGTTAAGCGTCCGACTTCAGCCAGGTTACGATCTCGCGGTCCGTGAGTTCGAGCCCCGCGTCAGGCTCTGGGCTGATGGCTCGGAGCCTGGAGCCTGTTTCCGATTCTGTGTCTCCCTCTCTCTCTGCCCCTCCCCCGTTCATGCTCTGTCTCTCTCTGTCCCAAAAATAATAAACGTTAAAAAAAAAAAATTAAAAAAAAATAAATTTAAGACACAGAAAAAGAAAGTCAAGGCAGTTTTTCAAAAATAATATTCATAACAGTCCATGTTTTTAAGCTAGTAATGCATCTGTCTACTGGTCTGAGCTCTTTTCATGTACTAATTCCTTTAATTCTTACAAAAAAAATGTTATGAAGCAGGAATAATTATTACTCCCATTCTATAAATGAGGACTGAGTCATAAAAGTTAAATAATTGGCCCCAGATCACGTACCTTCCACACAAGTGGCAGAATTGGGATCTGAATTCAGAAAGTCAGCTCAAGAGCCCTCTCACTGCCCTCTACCGTAGGCACTTTAGAACAAGTAAAAAGGTGTATTTTGCTCATTTAATTGATTCAATACTCCTGTTCATACTGAGGGCTTAATTCAAAGACATTATACTGTAATACCTCTAACACTCAAGAACTTACTAGACCTTCCCTTTGTTATCATGGAATATCTTATGCTAGTTTCCAAGAACACCCAAGGTGGATAAACCCTGATAAATCTAAGCTTTCCATCTCAAAATCAAACACTGGGTGAAACATTGTCACAGACTTCTCTAGTTTTCCTGACTTGAGAGCTCCCTAAATTCCTAAGAAAGCAATCCCTGACTCGGGCAGTCATGAGACAAATGAGCCACACCCTTCAGTTAGTGGGGAAAAAAAAAAAATCAGTGACTCTTCTTTGTTCATTCGATCATTCAGGCTTACTAATAATATGTCTTAAGAATATCATTTTCCCAGTTCCAAAGCACTAAACAAAAATGACTGACTACATCTGGTAAGGGGGGGTCCAGCCCCATCCTGTACGTCTTCCCCCAGTTGGGTGTCCCAATAGTTGACCTTTATGCCCCTGGAACCATTATTTCTCTCATTTACCAGGCTAGGACAAATGAATTCTTCTGACTTTACTACTCATGGAAACAGGATCAACTGGTCAGATAATTCTATAGAATACTCTTTTGTAATGTACCCCACACGATGCTTTCATTCACGAGGCATGGTTTTCATCCTCCCTTGTGAACTTTTTCCTCACACCTAGCCTCTGGCCCTCTCCTTGGTCTTTCTGACTTCATTCTTTGTTCCTTTCAGCACATCACTCTCAGAGTAAACACCGGCTGAATCAGACTATCACTCCCCATGCCCTCGCTTTGATTCAAGCTGCCCTTAACCTCCTTCCTCATCTTCACTGCTTAGTATTTCTCGACGCCATTTTCTAACAGAAGTTCTACTTCCTACGGATGTGCCTTCCAAACCTGACTCTGGACCATTTGCAGGGATGGCTTCCCTGTCCTACGTGTTTCTCATCGTCTCCTCTGTGGAGATTTCCCTGCCCGTGCGAAGATACAAGTGTTAAAGCCAACACTCCATCATGACAGGACAAATAAAATACAGCACTCTTCTGACCCATCCAGCCTGCTGTCTGAGATAATCTAGATGCTACATGTTCAGTGACTGTGTTAGCCTGTTACACGCTAACGTTTGAAACAAGTGCAACATTAGGGAAGATAATTAGAGAAAGTAGAGAAGAGTTAGAAAAAGAAAATATGAATGGGGTCTTCACAGTCAGGAATGGGGAAGCCTTGCTCTAAGAGTTTTATGTAAGCTTATTTATTTACTAGTTGCCAGAAGTTGGGTAAAAGTTTTCTTGGTCCTTAAACACTGAATTACAATGGAATATTCCAGCAGAGTTACACATGCCATCCCACTTGAATGCCCAGTAGGACCTTTAAGGTCACAGTAGTAATGAATGGCCAAATAATTAATAGGAGTAGAGCCTCATGAGCCTTCCTTCCTGTGCTGCAGCTGGGCAGAACAGTACTCTGTTCATGGCTGAAAATACATCTCAGACATGGCCACCACAGCTGTGCTGGGCACAGCTGCCCCTCAGACGCACTGCAGAGATGGGGGCCTGTCTAAATCGCCCTGCCTTCTTCTCTCATCAGATACATTTCCTTGACCATTATCAGCTGCACAACAGCCACATTTGTCTGTTAGAGACCTTTGAGCATGAAGACAATTTTACCAAACGACACGGTCTTCCTTCCTCGGTCTTGCCCCCACTCCACATCCTCTTATCCTCCTTGCTTCCAGAATGTTCCTCACTCAATTTT